TGTCACCCCTACTGTAATGGCACAGCCGGGATTTACTAAACATGCCACCTGGTACCACAGGAGAGTTTCTCAAAAACCATAGAGGACATTTGAGTTTGTACTTCTATAAAATGTGAGACCGACTCTGAGGGCAACAGCGCCCCCTGCTGATTCATAATCACACAACTACATGCAGAGGACCCAGGGGAGTCAAGTGTGAAGTCAGGGTGACAATTTCTTCTTATGAAAACGACAGATGAAATGTGAATTCCTCCCACCACAGTCTCCCGTTCTTCATTTACTCAGCCTCGTACACAATAATCATCCGACCGTCTCAGCCGCGGGTCAGCATCAGCAGAACACCGGCTTCAGCGGAGCTTCGGCAGCCAGCAGAGAAGGGCCCCCGCTGGCCACACTCGCGGTGCAGCACTCTGAGAAGACAGAGGCACGCACACAGATCACCTCCAGAGCACACCGCATGGAGGCACCGGGACAGAGGAGCCAGTGCTTAAGATCCTCATCTCTGGAGTCAGACTTGGGTGCAGACGCAGCCCGGCCAGGCCTACTATGAGGATTAAGGGAGGTGATGAACGTAAACATAAAACGTTCAGCAGGAACCTACGGCAAGCGCCCATAAATGCTCTCCGGCACCATCGTCCTCGTCATTACCAAGGGCTGAGCTCAGGAACGGGGACCCCCCCCACAGCTTACTCAACGTGAGGCTGTGTCTGCAGGGAACCAGGAGGAGGCATCCTCTTCTCTGAAGCTCTAGGGTCCCCCCACTCCTTAGACAGACCTCAAGCCAAACCCTGGAGAACAGAGATCGTGTCGGGTAAGATGGGCACCGGAGGACACGGGGCTGGCGTCGAGGGGAGCGGGAGACCCCGGCCTCCGTGAACACCCGCCCAGCACACGCGTTTGTGCCCTGAGCAGAGACGAGGGCACGCTACCCCCTCGGTAGTGCACAGCAGGAAAAAGGGTGAGACTTCATCCTCTATTTCAAACAACAGAATAAAGGTAAATGGGTTGAAGCAGACAGAAGCGAACCCAGGCCCAGCGAAAGGTGGGCTCGGCACACCCTCACAGAGGTGGGCGGGCTGGTCCCCGGGAGCAAGCCCAGCCCAGCAGGGGCCACTCTCCACACCCTCTTTCAGCCCCTTCCCGAGTCTGAGCGTCTGAGGTTCTGGGCACAGCTGCAAGAGCGCTGCAGAGAATCAAGAAGCCTGACAACTGAACAATCCAAGCAGTCTGAGAACTCCAAAGGCTAGAACAAGATCAAAATAAACCTAAAGAGATGATGTCCAGGGAATCATTCAAATACTAAAACTGTCTCAATGAAAAGGAGGAAACCTGATTACAGCTGGATCAGAAACAGCTTTTAAAAATTACAAAATGGAAATATAGATACTCTGTGAGCTTAAGCAGAAAACACTAAAAACCAAGTAACAAACTAGTAGCTTAAAAATAAGCATGTGTGTGACAAGAGGAGCTTACAGAGATTCCAGGATGTTAACCAAGAGAAGATGCGCCAGTGAAATTCACTATACTAATGGTGTAAAGGAGAAAAAATCGTATCAACAGTTGCCCAATGTATCTGATAACATGTAACAATCATGCCTGATTTTTTAAAAATCCTAAAATTCCAAGGAAAAAACATACTTAGTGATAACACATTTTATTAACTTAATTCCCCATCAAGTTAAAAATACCTTCTCATAGAGGGGAATTTGCCAATGTCTTTCAGAGTTAATGCATGCATTTACCCTTTGAGCTAGCAATCCTATTTCTGGGAAAGCATCCCAAAGACAAGCCAGCAGAATACAAAGTGATAAATGAACAAAGCTACTCACTATACAGTCGCTACACCATCATGTGTAGCAGCAAAGGCTGGAAGCCACAGAAACAGGCATTAAACTACCTACCTACACATGTTTTAAAAAAGAGAACGAGAAAGATCTGTATCTCATTCTAAAGACTAATCTCCAAAATATATTATTAATTGGGAAAAACCAAGGAACTTAAAAGGAAGTACAGTATGCCTCATTAAAAAAAAAAACTGAGAGAAATATGAATACCCTGATGTATAGCGTTATGTAGTCAAAAAGAAACATTTACAGAGTAAACCTTAGGCTAATATAAAGGGTTACCTTTGGAGGAAGGGAAAGAACAGAAGTGAAGGACAAGGACACAAATGAATGTCTCTGAGCTACACTGTTTCATAATTTCAACTTTGGACCGTATATACATGCTATGTAATTTTTAATGTAAAAATAGAATCAAAGCAGTCCCGAAAAATAAAAGATCAACTGAAACAAATCACTCTGACTGTATATCAAAGTGGTAGCATAACCACACAGAATTATTTTAGGCAACTTAACTTTTTCTTTCTAACATGATACATCTTAAGCACATAAAGAACCACAAGGAAAATCTTAGTTAAAAGAACATTCGACAGGTTCATCGTTAGTAATAATACCAGTATTTTTCTGAAATTATGTATTTTGATATTTGGAACAAAGACTTTCAGCATAAGAAATGCAAGTATATAGTCAAAAAAGTTAATTAAAAACCCTAAGATCTTTAATGAATGCATGACTTATTTTGTCACATTATAAAATCCACAAACTTTGTAGCTCTGCCTACTGAAAACCCTAAAAGGAATGAAAACCCAAGAGCAACATGCATCCCTAGGGTCTAGGTTATAGTCTCTAAATACCACAGTGTAGTGGGAACTAAAAGGAACCAGAGCTCCTGGGGAAAACAGCCAACTCCAGGCCTGGGCAGGAAACAGACAAGGTGAGCAGTACACTGTCATGTCAGAACACAGGCGAGTTACCAGAGACGACCAGAGTCATGTGAACAGAACAGCAGCAGATGACCAACGACAGGACAATCTGAATATCACAATAACAATAAAAAGAAGAATGGCTGCAAGTAGACTAAAATGTGTAATGTCTATTTTTTAAACCATGACTTCATAATAATACCCACCCCCCACAAAAAAACACTTCCAAGTCATCTATGAAGACTACGAGAGCATTAGTCCCTATTCTGTGAGTTAATAGAGAATCAAGCCTGTCCTGCATTAATTATATTTCATGGTAACTAATTAGTTGGTAAGAGAAAACTCTTCTTTACAGAAGAATCCTAGTAATAGATGTAGAAGGAATGACAGAACTAGAGAATCATCATTCTGCAATCTCTAATAAAACAATGGATATAAGCACCCCCCCATCTCTAATAAAATAATGGCTGTAAGCACCCATGATCAGGTAAACATAGAGAAATCTACAGTAGAAGGAACAGGCTGAAAAATCCCTGAACCCACTGATCAACCTTAACATAACTAATATTCAGACAAATTTCTTGAAAGACACAAAATACTAAAGCTCACTCAAGAAGAAACAGATAACCTAAACAGCCCTACATCTATGAAAGAAATTCAAACTGTAGTTAAAAACGTTCCCACAAAGAAGCTCCAGGCGTTGATGGCTTCACAGGTGAATTCCACCTACCGCTTAAGGAAGAAATACTGCCAATTCTATGCAAAATCCTCCAAAAAAAATTCCCAGCTCATTCTATGAGATCTGCAGTGGCCTGACACCAAAACCACACAAAGACATTACAAAATAATTAGAAGATATAACAGAAGAGAAGTAACAAAGATGAAACAGTTACTAAAAAATCTTAAGAAATGTGCAAAATTAGTAAGAAGAAAATTCTGATATACTCCCAAAAGACATAAAAGTATTTTTGAATAGACTGAAAGACAGTCCACATTCCTGGGCAGGACAGTTCAACAACAAAGGTGTCAGTTCACCCCAGGTTAACACATACATTTGGCATAATTCTAATAGAAGTGTCAACAAGCAGAGAGACGTAGAACTCTTCCTGAGCCAAACGCAGAATGGAGGTGAAGACTGGAGAAGAACAGAGATGTACCAAAAGGCAGAGAAGCCAGCCTGAAGTAGATCCCACTGACCAAACTGGGGACAGTTTTAGCTTACAAAGAATAATGTCTGTAACTGATTATAAATTACTGAGTAAATAAAAACCCAAAAGTCCAAAGCGACACTAAACGAGAGAGAGAGAGAGAGAGAAGAGCATGCATTCAAAATCACTTCCACCAGGGGAGGTGACTATTTGACTATCAATTTCCTAATCTGAAGATTGGTGGTTACAAGAGAAAGGACTAAAGTGTTCACCTGCCATTACAGGAATTCATCCAGTTGATGAGGGAAAGTTCCATACAAAAGCCCTGCTAATAAATGTAGATGTAACGACAGAATTTAACAATCACCGTTTTCTGAACTCAAACAAAAAAACTGATTTAGGCAAGGATTATTAACAGATGTCAAAGTCATCAGGTGAAAGAATTTGGGGAACAGGATGGTCAGAAATGAAGTATATAACTTCCCCCGTAAAACATTCTTACACCAGATGTTAAATTTGAATCTATGCAAGCCTCTCCCTGAACTTCAATGTTATGGGATCCAGAGGGATGACAGTGGAGGAGGAATCAGAGAGCCCCACACAGGGCGGGCGCATCCCTTCCTCTCTTCCTCTTAGCTGCAGGCCCTCCCTCCTCTGTCTGCTCCAGTCTGCGTCTCAGCTCTGGGGAGCCTGATAAATATGGGTGCAGGGCAAACAAGGCCTCATTTTTCTTCCTTCTCATCCTGGACCAGCACTCACTGGCCCAGTTGGCAAATTTACCAAATTCCTTTGAGAAAGGGAAGAAGTTGGGGTGGGAGGTGGGGAAGTGGTGGGGCAAAGCAATGAGGAAAGACTCAGTAGAAAGGTCAAGGAAAGAGCATTCCAGAAGGTAGGGCAGGGGTCATGGTGATGAAGGCAACAGAGCTGGCAGCTGAGGTACCTCACAGAGTGAAGCGGGGGCGTCAGGCCAGGACCCAGGTAAGTGGCCGGTCAGGGGCATAATTCTTAACTCAGATAAAAAAAAATTGGTCCCCTCGCCTCTCTGACCTTTTCATCTCACACTGAAACCCACATTCAGCGAGGTTCACCTTTCTTGGTGAAGAGGTTGCGGAATGTACCACACAGGCAGAAAACTCCCCCACTGTGCATGTCGACATGGAGCTGGTAGCCATGCAGTCCACACTCTGGGCTGTCATCCAAAAGGGGGGTATGAGGAGGCAGCTCGTAGGGGCTAAAAAGCAAAACAGAACACACACGCACATTTGTCAACACCAGAGGTAAAACACTAGAACTGGAAAGAATCTCTAAAACATTAACATCCATTCAAAGCACCAGCTCCTAACAACCCTCCCAGAGTGCCCAGAATGTTCAGTACAACAAATCAGAAGAACGGCCCCGCATTCCTTTCACCAACGTCTAAACAGGCAGAGGTTCCCTGCGCACCCACAAGACCACCACGGCAGAGCGTGGCCCTGATCCGCCCGGGACAGCAGCCCTGCTCCCCGGTGGTCATGGAGCCCGGGGGATGGAACGCTCAGCAGGAAAACGTGCCAAACAGCAGCCCTGCAGCTCAGGAACCCGGCAGGAGACCCAGAGCCATGAAGAAGCAGTTTCAGTCAGCGAGAAACACGTTTCTACGTAAGGCAACACGCTCAGAAGCATTCACGAGCTTTTCGGGTTCAGAAAAAGGCGGGGATGGGGGCATAGGGAGGCTAAGCCCTGGGGGGAGGGGATGAGAGGTACAGTGACACGCAAAGCCCCCACCCATGACCTTCAGGATCATGAACAGACAGGTTATACCGACCAAGCAAAACCACACCTGCAGGCCAGACCCAGGGGCGTCGGTCTGCCTGCCTCTCAGGACACGAGAACGCACATCCCTGCAAAGGACCTGCGGCGCCTGGGTGCGCCGGCATCTCGTCAGACGAGGCGACCCCGCCTGGTAAACCGTCCTCTGCAGGGTGCGTCACCCCCAACCCGAGCAAACAGCGCGAAGTGTTGCTCATGGGTAATTCAACTGTCTCAGCAATAGCCAAGTAATCATGCCTGCTGGCTTGTGTCTACTGACTAAAAACAGTACCCCTACGGCTGTCCTCAGGACGTCAAGGCGCTATCAGCGTCTAGCCCCTCGCGCTGCCTGCAGCACGCTTCACACACCGCACACAAATACATACACAGCAGCCGAGCCCAGCGCGCTCCTCTCCACCAGCTGATGGAAATGCAGGTGTGCCATGACAAAAGCCAGCTCCTCCTCCCTCTGAAAAGATAATTAAGAAGAATACATTTTTCAACTGAAATATTTTAATTTTTCACAAGGCTGTTGTGAAGATCTCAGCACATTCATCTCACAGAGAGGACGGGGTTTCTCATAACTTTAAGGTCAGCACAGTGCGAATGCATTATTGCCGTCTAATAAGACTCACACATCACACTGACAGCAGGGCCACAATTCACCTAAGTATGCAGAGCACGTGGTGCAGACCAGTGCTCGTGACCATCAAAGTGCTGGATCACACATGATGACTGTGAAAACACACACTGCTGGTTCCTGGTTGTCTCAAACTCTTTTCAAAGGTAAGGGTAATACTGGTAAGACCTTTGCAGTATGAACTGCACACACGCTCAGCAGCCGTGGCATGCTGTTCCTCTCAAGGACCCACTGGACTTGGCAAACCCGGGAAGGACCAGACTCAAACATCAGTTATCCAGCAGGGCGAGCAGCAGAATACAGGAACATCCAGGAACCCTCATCTATTTCTCCCCGGGCTCAGGGGCATCACCAGGTGGAGGTGACCTGTCGGAGGCCTGAAGCTGCCCTCTTCCAGTGACCAGTGGGACAGCTGCATCAAGTGGAGCCCTTGCCACTATGCGGCCAATCCAGACTAAGTCAAGAGCCCAGAGCCAGCCAAGGGCTGCCCGGCCTGATGGCCACAGTGGGGCAAGGATGGAAGAGGCCCGGGAGGCTGGCATGGAGACCTGGGTTCTGCTGGTCGTGGGCGCAGACAACTGCTGTTCTCGAATCAAACCTGGGGGCTACTGTCCTCACAAGTCCACGGGCCACAGCACAAATGTAAACAAGCGCATGGGGCATGTGACCCTGATGCCATCTCACTGGCGGGATCGCCCAGAAAATGACCCCCAGAGGAGGAGCTGGTGGATGAGAAACGTCACCGGTGGGAGCGGACACTCCGGGACACCCTCCCGAGAGGACCACTCACCCACGTCCACAGGCAGGAACACGTCTGGGGGCCCCGGGTTAAATGCACAGGGAGAGAGAGATGCTCTGGTGGAGGAAGGACATGAAAGGGACAGAGGCAGGACCACGGCTGATGAGGAGGAGGAGAGGATGTCCCAGGATGTCAGATGTCAGAGGAGCACCTGAGCCCCTCACCCGGCTGGGGGAGCAGAACAGCAGCGCAGCCCCCAGGAGCAGAGGGCCACTTGGCCGGAGAAATGACGACATTGGGGACCGTCTGAAGGACTTCACCTCGGATGCCGCACACAGCAGGGAGTGGACGCGGGGCCAGGCCAGGTCAGGGAGGGGCGCTTACCTTCCACAGCCCGACTGCGAGGCCTGGGTGCAGGCAGAAGAGCCGGACCAGCGTGTCGCAGCCCATCATGGTGGCTTCGGCTAAGTTACTCAGATTGTACTTTGCAATTAAAGAATGCCATCGGGGTCTTCAAACATCCGGGCCGAAGAAAGGAGAGAAGAATGAGCTTCTGCACCCATCGTGCTGTCGTTCTCTCGGTGGATCTGAAAACACTCGTACCCCCATGCTAACCGTGCACACTCTGCTAACGAGGGGCACAACTTGTATAAATGAAAGGCAGAACGGTTAAGTCCAAGCTTCTCACCAACTTTCTCATTCTTCCCCCTGCCCCCTCCCCCACGCCCCGTCAGAAGGGGGCTGCAGAACCACTCGGGTGAGGATGGGGCAGAACCGGCTTCTACTCTCTTCCCCTCAAAACCCAGCTCAGCACTACAGTCAGCAGCAGATCCCCACTCAAGGCGGGGACATAAGGTACAAGCAGAGAGGAGATCCCTTAAATGATCCCTTAAGTGCTAGCTGAGCGCGGATGTGCCTCCTCAAGTTGTTACAGAGAATAACTCAGAGACAATGAAAACTGTCACATCAGAAAATAAACTTAAGCCAAACTCATGAGTGTTTTCATGAAGGAGATACAGTGTGAACGCTTTATCAGAATCAGTGTCTAAGAGTAAATAACCCAAACGTGTAAGAAAACACAGCGCAACCCTACTATTCACCATGACACGGAAATCAGCAGAGTGGGCCCTCCTCCACGCACTGTAATGGTAGACGGAGGCATCTGTCCCTCTCAGGGACAAGGCAGGAAGCGAGAAGGGAGAGGAGCCCTCAGCGGTGGGTTAGCACAGCTCCATGCTGGAAGATGGTCTCTGAGGAGCCGGGGCCAAGAGCCCACCTCCAGCACCTGAGACACAAATCAGCAGGTGACAGGTGTTCAACGTTCATTAAGTCGAAGAATTTAAGAACCAAGGTGCTCAGCAGAGGCACAAGCACATGTGTAACCTAGAACGACACGGCGTGGGCAGAGCACACCGAGCGGAGGCCGAACACGAGGCTGGGGACCTAAGCGTGGAGCCAGGTGGACCCGCTGAAACCTCAGCCCGCACCCTGCAGACTGCCAGGATGAGCTCCACCTGGGTCTGCGGGGACCCCAGCCCCTTGAGGGGAGAGTGAGACATGGAATGAGAACCCTCACTAGAGCACGCGGCGCACACGAGGTGCCCAGGGCCCAGCAGTCACTGCTGGGATCGCTGTCAGTGTGGACAGTGAGGCCGGGCAGCAAAAACACAGCCAGCATGCCTGAGGCCGGGACCCGCACAAACCCGGCTCCGGACCAACTGGATAAACCCCACAGCAAATGCGCTGGTCCCCAATGCCGTGACCTCGCAGGCTCCAGACACAGAAACTAGGGCTGACCTTCACCCAGCGTTTCTTGGAAACCCATCACCTGCAGGGTGAAGAACCCTGGCAGCAGAAAACCTACTGAGACTGATGGAAACAGCACACATCACAGGGAAATCCAAACTGCAAGTTACACAAATAAGGCTTCTACCGTTTTTTAAAAAAAATTCTCATGGAGGAAACAAAGATCCAAACAAAAATCATCAAGTCTCTCCTTTGCCATCACACAGACGCACACAAGGATTTGTATTCCCGCAGGAGGAAAGATCTGCTCACAAACTCGCAATAAAGTGCAGATCAAAACAGACTCCTGAAAAACACTTCTGGTGTTTGTTCACCACCATTTATCAAACGCTGGCTGAGGTCCACTGAGTTTTAGTGGAAATAAATCACATTATCCACGTAGGGTCCGGTATTCCTGACTGGATGACTGTTGCGGGAAGGCAGTGCCTGAACTGAGCTTTACAATTCAGCGTGTCCATTTACGCTCTTTCGTGATCATTTTCATTGACGTTAACAATCTTGTCCTATCCCTATAAACAACATTTCATGATACATCACATGACATACTGTTCAGCCAACCTAGCACAGAGGCTGCAGATTCATTCTCCAGGTATAATTTCATGGTGTATAAAACCTAAGTACTGCATTAGGAAAATCTGGGGTCCACCACAAAACCACATCAAATTTCAGAAATTTATCCAAAGAAAGGTAGCATTTAAAAAAGTAACTTGTTTCCAAAGTATCTTTGGTTAATATAATCAGAGGAAATAATTCCCATGTTCTTCTTCACGGCACTAAAGACATTTTCAGAACACAATGAAAGCTGGATTTACCCGCACTAGGCACACAACACTCTTCCACACACAGCATGACAACCAGACCAGTGATCACCGAAACAGTCCTCAAAGAGCCAGCACCAGAGGGAGGAACCACAAACCAGGTCCCCAGGTATAAAGTCGCAGCAGTGTGTCTGTATCCAAGGAGACCATGAAAGAAGGCGGTTTCCCCATGGAGACAGCAGACACTAAAGTGAGGTCTCAACACCTTCCATCATGGACCGGGCGCCTGGGGAAATGCTCCGCCACGTCAGAGGGGCTGAGCGCATGAGGAGGGGCCGAGGGGAAGGTCACCAGCACTGAGAAGGTGAAAGCAGCCACAATCTTTTTCACACCAAAAGGTCAGGATGCTACGTGAGCCACAGTTCAGCTTTTAGGTGAAAAAAGCGAGCATGAAGGGTTTGTTGGGAAAAGCAAGATTCAAGGCTTATAATGAGCAGAACCCAGGGTAGAACCGCCTAGTGACAGAATAGTAAGTGCTCGACAGACTGAGCGGTGTGACACACACATATCTGTCTCATGCACCTGGCAGTGCAGTCATTCCACCTCCACAGCAGCCATGCAGCCAACACTGCATCCCACCACTATCACCCCATTTTACAGCTTAGGAAACGGAGGCACAGAACGACACACATCTAGTAAGTTCAACAGAAAAGCATATGAGGAATTAAAAATTATGACTTCATGATCTAATGTTTAAACTATGATTACTGCATCATGTACTAAAGACGGAAAATATAATTATTTTAAATATCTTTGTGTTAAAATGGTTAAAACTTAAACCTCAGAAGGTCAGCCACCAACCATCCAGGAAACTGCTTCGAGAATACCATTCCCTAAGCTACAGATAACCAAGGTTTGAGGGCCCGAAGCTTAGACTTAATCATCCCTGTGACAAACGCACACTTCCCCATCCCACAGTGATCCAGAGTGAGAGAGCAATCGTTTAGAAGCAATCAAACTAAAATACACTGGTGGTATTTTTTTAATGACCAAAGTAATGCCAACCAGCATTTATATGTTAGATGTTCTCACCCAAACGCTCTGCTGAGTTAGGACTTACCCGTTTTTGGTGGGGGTTTTAGACTGGTCCATGAAAACGGGCATCACCCCACACAAATCTAGGGTTGACAGCGTGGCAAGACGCGGCCAGTCTCTGCCGAACCACAGGATGGTAACGGATGAGTCGTTGATGGAAAGATCAACGTGCTCCATGACGTATTCTCTCCCACTTTTCTCTCTCAGTATAATTACCCAACCTAAACCAGATATTCTGAAGAAAGAGAAGCAAGCAAAAATGTCCGCCTCACCGACAAAAAAAAAAAAAACCAAACAAACAGAAAAAACAAACCCAAAGCTAAAGTCTATCACGTCACCTCTAAAGGCATCTAGTGCCCTAAAGCCAGAGTCAGAGTTCTCAGCACTTGCTCGGCCCGCACATCCAAGTCCGCGGCATTTCTCTGAGGACTCCTCCCTCCCACACACTCAGAGCATCTGCCTTGTCCTAGAGGCTGGCAATACAGAGACGGGGAAGACAAGGGCTCTGCCCAGAGGACGGGGGCCTTCGGCACCCCTGCTTCACTGGAGCAGGTTACTAGGCCCCCTCTGCTGTTCACCTCTGGGCCAGACACACGGAATAGGAAAACACTATGTATTTTACAGATACACAAAAGCACACAAAATATCAAACAGTCCCTCACGATAGAAATTGCACATATATCCTACACATACACAGTACTGTAAGTTTACACCATCCTTCTTTTTTTAAAGTGTTTGTATATTTAAATGTTTAACAGTCCTCCCAAGTGACCACCAGGCCCACCTCAAGAAGACACTCGTACCTGAGGGCCTCTCTGATTTTAACCGGAAGGCCCAAGTAAGGGTTGACAGGTTGCAGAACCCGAGCGAGGGCTGCTTTTACAGATGTGATCTGTTTTGTAATATATTCTCTCTTCCAATATCCAGCTTCTTTATCCCCAACTGACAGTAAGTTCATAGACACAGCTGTCTTCTCCACTGAATTAACTTTCCAATTAGATCTTTTAGGTGAAAAGGCAGCTGAGTAGATTCTGATCCAAATAAAACTGGAGGAAAAGAGGAAAGATGTTATGTGTCTAAGAGACACTGTCACGTACCTATAATAATAACATATTGAATTGAAGACACACAATAACCTTTAAGCAGCCTGGCTCCATGAACACGTGAGGCCACACACTGACAGCTGTCCGTGTGTCAAGGTGAGCTGCAGTTCACGTGTTTTAGAGTCAACAACCCTAAAAACACACACTAACAGGAAAAGCTTGTTTCCAGGGCAGAGTTAAAATGAGTGATTGCGTATTATTTGGTATCATCACAAATAAGAACAGCCTTCTTACACCAGTAATTGAACAGGAGACCCATTATAGAAAACAGCAAGGAGTGTATACAATGTGATTTCCTATCTTAAGAATATACATGTTTTTAAGAAAATCAGAAAGGGTATATATATACACACACACACACACACATGTTCACACAGAGAAACGTCAACAGTAACTGAATTGTACATTCTATTTGCCTTCAATATTTTAACTTGTCAACAATGAACACGGACTGCTTGCACAAAGAGGAAAAAAATGAACCTTATTAACAACTAACAATGACGTTAACATCTTTTGATCACCATGTGCTCAGCACTTCAAATTATGCATTAAGTCATTTGATCCTCCCACAGACCCATGAGGCAGCTACTCTTACTGCCCCACTGAGCAGAGGATGTGACTGAGGCCGAGGCAGAGTGATGGACCCAGTCTGTGCAGGGGCGTGGCAGAACCACCATGAACTCCTGTAGCCCTGCCTCTTCAGCAGCACAGGGAAGGGCCCAAGGAAATGGAACAATTCTACCTGCATTCAGAGAGCCCACCGGCTGCACGCCGCAAGGCGAGCCCGTGATGCTCCCGCTGCCCGTGAGGAGCCCATGAGGAGGGGCAGGAACGGCGCAGGGAGTGAGGCTGAGACCAGGGTACCCCTAGACACCCCATACACCCTATCAGGGAAGAGGAGAAATGTCTGCAGGAAACTGTGGCAGGGGTTACATCAATTTCCTCAAGTGAAAGGTGAACTTTACATGAATAAAGATACTGATTTGCTAATTTATGCCTCACACTTGTGAGGCAGAGAGGGACAGCCCAGGGACAGCGGGGAGAAGGAGCAGGTCCAACCTGCAGGAGGACCGGGGGCCGCGGAGACCCAGGAGGGCGGACCCATCGCAGAGCTGGGCCTGGTGCAACCGCGGCGGGAAAGGGGTGCCTCCTCCGTCCACGCAGCACCTGGACTTTCCACCCAACTCACACATTCACACACCCCTACCGAAATCTCTGTCCCATGTAAGGTTTTCAAGTCACTTCTCCCCTCGAAAACCATTTCATGGCAAGATTCATACCTTAAAGTACTCATGTTTCAGCCCCAAATGTCCGGGCCTCCCTCGATGTGCTAGCAGGTGCACAGTGATGAAAGATGAGTCCATGTAGGCAAGTCTGAGCTGCTTCATCAAAGCCCCTTGAGGAGACACTTTTAAAAACTCCCTCTGCATAAAAGTCCATTCATGTTTTCTTATTTATTTTAGTCCTCATTTCACTCCACTTACGTGTTCTTTCACTTCAGCGAGTCATCACTGAACCCCAAATTTCCCTCCTGAGCACCCCAGGAACCACAGCTGCTTCTGCTCCTTCCGTGCTCCCCCCAGTGCACACAAAGTGCAGGACAGACCCCGTGCAGGGAGACAGGGGGACGGGGCAGGGGCAGAGCAACAGCGGCACACACCCCCGTTACCGTAACTGCCCTGACCCTTGTACAACGGACCACTTCCGCACGCATCATCTCACTTAATGTACCATCAGTGGAGCCTCAAGAGAATAAAAATGCCTTAGAGAATTAAAATATTATATATTTTGTTCCCCCTGATTATTTATAAAATACAACCGTCAAGTTAAAGGTCCTTTTAACATCCTGCAAACCCCAAACACATTCATTTCTCCATCACAAAGCGCTGTCTTGTTAAAAAGCTAAAGTGGATTTAAGGACAAGAGCCTGTTTGTCTAATCTGACACTCAGTCAAGCACAGAAAAGCTTCAATCAGGTTGTTCAGGAAACAGAGCCAATCTAACATTCTTGTTTCCACGACGGCTGGAAACCAGACCCCCCACCCTGCCCCACCCCACCCCTGTCATGGTCCAGGTCCAGCCCGATCCGTGCCCCCTACTATCCCCACTAGGCACCAGTGTGTGTGCTGAGGCTGCCACGTGTGGGGCAGGGAGGTAGTCCCCCTGAACAGTGGGGCTGCCCGGGGGACCCCATCCTGGGAGGACTCCCCATGAAGTCAACAGAGTAACTGACTATGGCACGTACTCCTGGCCTCTCTTCAAAAGCAATGTTCAGAAAGTGCCATTAACTTTCCAAACACATTCATTGTTTACCTATTCAACTGTTGATACATCCTTTTAGGAAGTCTGACTATGAAATCAGACTCTTAAAAATACAATTCAACTTAAACAATTAAGATTCATTCTCTAAAAACAAAAACAAACATGAGAATAACTTCAAAAGCAGCTCAGATTTTTAGAGGACAGCTTCCAAGAAAGTGGGACAGGTGCGTCCTCAGTCACAGGGCCACGCAAGAACTAAGGCCCCATGCCCGCCGCGGCCCAGCGTCTGCACTGTGTGGGCCTGGAAGTCAAGTGGACGGAGGGACGGAGACTAAGAAACTTATGATCCATGAGCTTCTCTAAATAGTCTGAGTTCCATCCTTAAAGTAAGAACCGCCCCTAGAAAGCCAGTTTCGGACACTTAGTTGACTCCTTCTTTGACAAACGCCTCACTGCACCCTGCGTTGGCGGGCATCTCTTGCTCAGGGTCACTAAGAAAGAGACACAGAAACTGCGCTACACTCATTAGAACTCCTTCAAGAACTGATACGTGACACAGACATATATTCTCTCCTACAGGAAACATCTTTTTAAGTTAAGAGAGAAGACGAGCACCCTGCCCAACCAGAGAATGGTGTGTGTCCCCTTGTCATGAGAACTTGACTGCTTATTAGTATGACTTGGAGAGATTTTTAAAACACAAGACCCTAGAGCGCAGAGTTAAAACCTCCAGAAACACACACCAGCGATCCAAATGTTTTTTTACCTCTTCCAGCCGGTCCTCGGCCGCTCCGTGCACTGGCAGCGAGGAACCTGCATAGATGCTTCTTGCTCACTGTGCTCAAGGCTCAGCCTCCCCACGGCCCTCCGTCCGCTTCCCCATCTACTGAACCACCAGTGAGATGTGCATCCCCACCTTGATCCTTCCCCTGGTTGACGTGCAGGGTCTACATGGGATCAGTATCTGTCTGATCTTTTGGTGCTGAAGTCGAGAGACGCACCTCAAAGCCAAGACGCTCACTTGTAGGCCACAGAACTCACCAGAAGTTAGAGAAAGCCCAGCATCTCACCCCCCAAACGAAATTCTGAGTTGCAGACAAACATCAGAGCAACAAAACAGAAGAAGCAGTTTCATCCCTTTTCTCACAGATGCCCCACCAGCCCAGGCGAGCTGGGTGAACCTCGTCACTGCGGTCTCCTGCTCCCAGGAGCAAAGGCTCGGGGAGGACTCATCCTCGCCACCTCCGAAGCCCATCACACTTCCCCGCCAAGCAAGTTCCATGGCTGACAAGCCTGGGGTCTTCCCAGACACACCTAACCGAGCCCCTCCCTTGTCTTTCCTTAGGCTCCTCTCTGCAAGCCCAGGGCCGGGGTCAGCGGGGGCAGGTCCCGCTGTGCTGCCAGAGACCGTGTGGCCAAGTCTCTCTGCCCCGGCAGGTGCAGCAAGTCCTCCTGGCCAGCAGACCAAGCGCCACTTTCTCCAACAGCTGCACCAACAGCAGCTTTGATCTTCTTCAGCTCATGCGAAGAGTATTCCCTTCTCAAAGCATGTCAATACAAATCTTTGAAAATATCACACATTAGACATCTTTCTACTCATGTCTAAGACTACTCTTGAAATTCTTTTAAATTTTAAAAAAATGGTTAAAAAGCTCTTACTAGTTTTAACTATGTCCATCAAAATGCCATCAAACATTACAGAGAGATTTGGTTTTCTCCTTACTTGTCATTAGCCAGATGGTAAAAGCGCCAGTTCACACACCCAATGCACAGAAGGGTCACAGCATCCAAGTAGGACAAGATCTTCAGCAGGATTTCTGAAGGCAAACTGAGAGAGGGAGAAATCAGAGAAAGACCGAGAAAACAACTGACCATCTCCAAACAGACAGCACTGAGCAGACCCTCCCTGTCCTGTACAAGAGGCTCACTGCACCCTCACCTGCAATTGTTTCTCGATTGATGTGCTCTGGTTAGTACAGTCTCATGACATAAACCAACACAGAGGTGCAAGGGTACAAAAAGCTAATAACTTCCTTGGCATTTGAATCACATTCCTACACCGTGAATCAACAGGCAGGATTTCACTGTCTCCCTCATGAAACTATGTACTTCATGCGATAAATGGAAATAACAGTCAGAGAATGCATTCCTAGCTACAGACATACCTCAGAAATATTATTATAGGAGGGTCAGTCCGCAGTAAAGCTTATATCGCAATAAAGTGAATCCCATTAACTTTTCAGTTCCCCAGGTCATATAAAAGTTATGCTTACACCATACTATAATCTAATAAGTGTACAATAGCATTGAATCTAAAAACAAAAAGTACATACCTTAACTACAAAACACTTTATTGTTAAAAAACATTAACCATCATCCGAGCCCTCAGTGAGTTGCAGCAGTAACATCAAAGATCACTGATCACCGTAATATATAACAATGAAAAAGTTGGAAATACTGGGAGAAATTGCCAAAATGTGACACAGAGACAAGAAGGCAGAAAAACGCTGTTGGAAAAATGGTGCTGACAGACATGCTGGTGCAGGACTGCCACAAACCTTCCACAGACACAACATCTGCGGAGCATGATAAAGCGAAACACAGTCAAACAAGTCCGCCTGTATTAATAAGAAAACACATACCTCCCCCCACCCCAAAACCACCAGTGGAACATCAGGAAATATCAACCTGTTTCCCCCCAACCTACACCACGCCCACACCCTGCTCCTGCAGTCCTGACAGCTGTCTCCAGGGCTTCGAGGAGGCCCCAAGGCCTGAAAGCTTCTCTGATGTATCTTTTTCTTTTTCATTTATCTGGCTAAATAAATATCACATTGAGATGCATTCTTAATCTCCCATCTATTTCTACGATCTTAGAATTTTACAAAACACCGTAAGAAACTGACAGTGCCAGAGGCATTACTAGCGTTTCGAAGTCAGGAGTGGGCACTTTGGAGCCTCAGACAAAAGGAAAAATGGAAAAGAAGCTACAGAAGATTGTACTGGGGTGGGTGGTGTCTAGGGATAAAGGGCGAGCGGGAAGTAAACCCTTGGATCAATTTAAAGCTGCTGCCCACTCTCCACCCATGATGTTAACTACTTTAAATGTTTGTGACAAAAATCAGCTTAATGAGTGTTTCATAGGAAAATAATCAGTCCTAAAACTCTGATAATACTGAGAAAGAATGAGGTGGATCCTTGGAAAAAGACATATTTGATACACGTTACTACGTAAGCACTACCCTGGCTCAAAAGGGTCTGAGATATTTTAACCCGAGGCATTCCGAGAGTTTAAACAAGTAGCTTTGCTTGGATATTAGTTAAATCCCTCCTCTCAAGTAAAATTCCTTAATTCACAGTCAGTAAATTAGACACTAATAGTGAGCAAAGGTCTCCAACGCTAGAGACAGCAAAGGGTTGCAGCACCCCCACCGGCACGGGGTCAAGCTGCAGTTTGGGGTTCCCACCTCAAACCCGCCTCCCCACCTAACTCATAAATGAGTTACATCAGTTCTGCCCCAAATGTCTCCAATTTGCCAGTCTCTCTCCATCTCCCCTCCTTCCAGAGAACCGAGATAGTTTTAGAAATCACAACACACCGCACCTGTGCTGAAATTCACCACATTGTTACTGACGGTCCAGGCTCCTCCCACAGCCCGACCCGGGCCGCCCCACTCTTACCCACCGCCCACTGCCCAGCACCGCTGCTCCATCCACAGGCCAAGGCCCCACCTCTGCCCGCCTAGCATCCCTCTCCAAAGGCTCTTCTCCAAGCTTTTTCATCTCCATTTTCAGTTCTCAGCTTGAACTCCACCTCCTCAGAGAATTCTTTCCTGACCACCCTGCCCCACTAACCTGGATGATGGAGTCCATTTCTCTTCCTGACAGCATGTATCCCAATTTATGATCCACTCCTTTTTTCCACCCTGTCCCTCCCGCAAGACCATAAGCCTCGTGACATCACACGTGCTCACCACCTGTGCCCTGCCCCGAGCACAGCGTCTGGTACAGGGAAGGTCCTCAGAGTTTGACAGACAGATTAGCTGAATGAATATTTGTTCTATTTCTCATATCAGATTATTGTACGACAGATTCTATTCCCAGAGAATAGGGTTAAAGCTTAAATCCATGTTCTTAATTCTTTCTTTTCTGGCTTTCTGTTTCTTTTAAAACATAGCAGGAGTCTGTACACTGTTAGCTAAGCTGGTTTGACATGGTATTAAAAGTTCAAAAGTGGAAGTCAGGCAATGTACGTTTGAATCTGAATTTTGCAATAGTGCACTATGTGAGCCTCACTCCCTCCACTGTAAAACATCTATAATAACACTGCCCTCTCAGAGATCCACACGACACTCAGCACATACTTGGTGCTCCAACCTGTCAGAACAGTACGAATCCATAGACATTTCAGCATCAATTTCAAATAATCCATTTTTGTAAAAGTTTCTGCAGGTCCCTTTGCTGCGGTCAACATACAAAACCCGCCACGGCAAAACGGGTCCCAAGATGCTAAAATATAAGAAAGTCAGAGACCCCCTGAGCTTTCAAAAGAATGCACTTTAATCTTCTTTCTCCTTTTTCAAGGATCTTTATCAACTGGAAAATGAATAATTTTGAAGAACATTTTTTAATGGGAAAATGAAATTTACTTGAGGACTTAGAGTCCAGCTTCACGAGACTAGTCTAACGACGAGGGTGATGGTGGGCTGGTGACTCACGTCAAACTCTCTGGGCTGCACACCCTTCCTACACAAGGCTATTCTTAGAGCTCGAAAAGCAGCTGGTATACGCAGCACCACTCTCTCTAATAACTCCATCCCTGGAGCCCCCCGAGTGTGGCAGACTTCTGCTCCTTACCTCTCCAGACACACAGGGCGGCTGGTGGAGGACGTCTCAGGGCGCTGGTCCTGGTGGGCACAGTGCTTTACAGTAGTACAGCCTGTGGCCAGTCTGACACTTGGCCCCTTTCTGAAATCAAACATGGAAAATACAAGCTATAATGAAAGGTGAACTGTCCGTTCCCCTCTACAAAACTATAGGGGATTCATAAACTCCAAAGACTCCTCCCTGCGAAACTTCACTGACGAAAGAAAGGGGAGGGGAGAGCGGAGGAAGGGAGTGAGGGCTGTGAAACATTCAATGTCCCAAGTAAACCTGAAAACGGGACTCACTGTGATGTATTTTATCACAGGCTTTCAGCACAGCAAAGGGGTGCTGTAAAATGTACCTAATGGAAACAAAAGGGAAAAAGATAAAATGCATCAACTGTCTGGTTTTGATGATACAACAGAAACCTAATAAAGATAACATCAATAGAATAAAAAAGCTAAAGTCTGTGAACCAGCACGGCCGTCCCCATCTCTGGCTTGGCTGATCCTGGAGGGGTGACGGCTGCTTCCAACTCTGGCTCTGGCAGTCACACCCTGGAGGGACCAAACATTCATCCACGAGTGTATTTACCCTTTAACATCTCACATTCAATGGAATACATTCTAATTGGCCATTTTTTTTATTATTTTAGGGGTAAATAATAAACATAAAATAGTGACTCTTACAATCAATGGCTTTTAAGATTTGCTGAAAGAAATAGACTCACAGACATAGGAAACAACTATGGTTACCAAGGGGGAAAGGGAGGGGAGGGATAAATTAGATATCTGGGATTAACAGACATGCATTACTATACATAAAATATACGAGGATCTCCTGTATATCACAGGAAACAGTATTCAATTTCTTGTAATACGCTATACTGGAAAAGAATCTGAACATACATATATGTACATGTATAAATATGTGTAACTGAATCGCTTTGCTATACACCTAACCTTGTAAATCAACTACACTTCAATAAAAAATAAAATTAAAAAAAAGATTTGATGAAATAGGGTATGATATTTTATGCAGTTAGTGGTTAGCCCCTTTCAGAAGTTCCTACAATAAATTTGTATTAAAATCAGTCCTAGCCAGCAGTACTCAGCAGCAGCTTGGGAGGGACTGGGAACACCTGGGCCATCCAGCTCACAGCTCCCCACTTCCAGGCAGCAGCCCCCAGAGCATGCCTGGTGGACATGCTCCTTCTCTCAGGAAGACCTGGAAGCTGCATGTTTACCCCCGCCAGACACACACACACACACACACAATTACTGACACCCTCCAGCCCAGCCTACTTTAGAAGTGACCAAAACCCAGAGTACACATTATTCACACACTTAGTTCACCAAGGCTATGGCTCTAAGGATGTACTTTGTTCACCAACAGTTTAACCACCCCCCACCTTCATTTTTCCTTACAAGATGATTTCCTGGACACATTCAGACTAACTCTCAAAAAGGATTTGGGCAATAATTGGGGGCAAGATGAAGGGGGGTCCTAAGAACTTGGAAGTAAGGGCAATACTCTTCCTGGAAGTGGAAAAATACAATCCACACAAACAGATATGAACAGAGGATGGCCCTCAACCCCGAGCATGACCCGCTCTCAGGAGGCAGGGGGAGTGCACTGTCCACAGGCTCGGCATGGCCTGATGCCTACGGCAGAGATGGGCAGGCCCTTAGAGCCCCTGACAATCCCCCAGGTGCTCCTGAGCAGAGGCTGAGTCCCTCTTCCCTTGATAGAGTCTTCCCTTCAGGATGGCCCACGATGAGCCCCCAAGAAACATTAGCTCTCCTCTGCATGCTGGCATCTCAACCTGGGAGAGGCCGAATCCAGTAAACCCTTCCAGACCCTGCTGGCTAGCCAGGCCTCTCCACCCAGCTTCAGCAAGGCACTTGAGATGTTCTTTGTCTTATCTGACCTCCTAGCCCACGCATACTTGGGAAACGCAGAGCAGCAAGAGGCCAGGGAGAGTGCTAATTTGGGGAGCTCTGTAATGCCCTCTCCCCTTTCATCAGAGAACTGCACCTGTGCAGTATATTTCTGTACTTCTGTTGCAAGTTTTAAGCAAAGATTTCCACAGTAGAAAAGCTTCAACTCAGCTTTGACCCGGCTCTAACACGGCAACCAGAGGTAAAGCATAATTTCCTAATTGTATTAATTTCCTACGGCCGCCTTCACAAAGTACCTTAAACTGGGTGGCTTAAAATAACAGACACTTATTGTATCACAGTCTTTGGGGCTAAAAGCCCAAAATCAAGGTGTGGGGAGAGCCACACTCCCTCCCAAGGCTCTAGGAAAGAATCCTTGCTGGCATCTTCCAGCATCTGCTCCTTGCTGACAGTCCTCAGTGGCTGTGGCGACAGCCAACTTTGTTCCATCCCTACATGGTGTGCGTGTGTGCCTGTCTGTCTGTCTTCCTACCAAACATCACATTCAATTTAGGACACACCCTAACCCAGCATGACCTCATCTTAACTAATTACATCTGCAAAGACCCTATTTCCAAAATAAAGTCACATTCTGAGGTTCTGGGTGGACAGGAATTTTTGCTGGGAGACGGGGTCACTATTCAACACAGAACACAATTTTTCAAAGTATTTTAAAGTGATTTAAAATAATTCCTCATTTTAAGTTGTTAACTGTTCTTGTAAACTCTTTATGACCTGTGTTACATAGTCAAAGAAAGTATCTTCAGTTGACAAAGGTTTCTAACACTTAAGCTTTAAGTAAAAATAATTTCTATTACTTTTCCATCAAATAGTAACAATATCCAGTTCCCAACCAGTGGCCCTCAGACCCCTACAAGTGTGGAGTGTCACGTCAAGAAGTCTGAGAGTGTGTACACACACTGCATGAAGACTGAAGGAGGAATGACTCTGATACTGTTTTTTAACTTAAATGAAGACTGCTGTGGTTAATCAAATATACATTTATTTGGGAGCATTAGTAAATTAGTAACAGCTTTTTGCCATTGTGTATTTTTCTCAAAAGATGCCCCCCTCAAAAAATCAAAACTATTACCCTAGGCCTTTCCAGGGGAACTGAAGAAAAGTAAATCAATACATCATTCAGTTTCAATCCAGCAACTGGCAAAGCCCAAATCAAGGGGAAGCACAAGCACGGCTCTCTTGCAGACAAGCCGGCACTCGCCCTCGCTGCGGGGAGCACCCCTGGCGCGAACGGTCTGGAAAGCCAAATCCTAGTACAGATCAAGATCCCTAAAAGTCCTATCTATATACATATACATACATACACACACACACACATACACACATTTTTTAAGCCAAGAATTTCACATCTGCAAGTATACTCCAAGACAAGAAAATGAGCCCAAAGACTTCACTCAAGAACGTCCATATCAAAACTGTCTGCACTGGGAAAAGTACTGGAAACAGCACAGGGATTGGCTAAACTGCAGGGCCTCTGTGACGCGAACAATGTTCAGCCAGTTAAAACGGACCATTTCAAGTGGAAGTGTGTGCAACTGAAATGAGCACATGGCATCTCCCAGATGTCCACGCGGTTAGCTCCCTCACCTCCTACAGGCAACCATTCAAATGTCACCATCTCACTGAGACCTCTTTTAGCCCTGCTCTTGAAAACTCCAATCCACACTCCACACACACGCACACACACGATACCCCTTCCCTAGTTTTTCCCCAGCACGTGTCCCTGTCCAACACGACACTTTGCTTATCTGCCTGTTCACTAGCACTGGGGGGTGAGCTCCAGGCCGGCAGGTCTTTTGTGTGAGTTTTGTTCACTGCTGGTCTGTCAGCACCCACAACGTGCCCAACATGCAGAAGGTATTCAATAAATGTCTGCTAAGTTAATAACCTATCAATTGAGAAAACAGGTTATATCGGTATGTGCAACAAAACCTTATTTTTGTATTTGTCTCTTAAAGGAAAAGGCAAACACATACAAAGAAGAGAGGTCTGGAAGAAGAGGTAGCAAAGTATTAGCCAATAATACATCTGATTCACAAGGTTACAAGGCTTTCTGGTGGTGGTAGTTTTAAAATTGGGGCTGGAGGATCGAAGAAACAGAAGACCATGGACTTTCTAATATTTCTTAATATACTGAATATGTAACAAATTGTGGGGGGTTTGTTGTTTTAATTGCAAAACTGAGAACCCGATACACAAAAGGGTTTGGGACCACAGTTTCATGGCACAATCCTTTAGGCTGGAACCATGGTTCTCAAAGGCCTCCATTCTGGGCACTAGGTCCCCCAAAATCTGGGAGCACAGCCTGGAGAAAGCCCAAAACTTCTTTGAAATCTCTTGTTTAAAAATTAATGCACATGCTTCATTGTATGGGTGTTATCAGTGTTTCTTTCCCTTACTTAAAAAGTGTACCGTGTTACTCACCAGGTGTTTACCATTTCCCCCCAAAGCTGTTACGCTGACCTTCCGTGCCGATGGGCACCCTGTGCGTCCCCTGCCCACTGCTGGAGAAGTAGAGCCTACTTGTTGCTGTTTCGTTTGGCCATAATTAAGACGGATCTCCTGAGTCCCTCATTTCACAGATCAGGAGACTAAGGCTCTAACGAGGCACTTAACAGTGACTTCTTTAAGGTCCCAAGCTAGAGGCCGAAAGCCCCAGGGCCCTCACCTCCTGACTGTCCCTCCAGAGCTCTCTCTACCATGTTCTTACACATCTTATCAGTGTAGATTTTGGTACCATTGAAGGCACATCTCCACTTCTCCATAAAACAAACCAAGTGCACAGTTTAAAGGGTTAACTACAATTACCAATCAGTAAATTCCATGTATGTCCTCAGGTTGATCTATACCTACAAAATGCACATTTAGCTGATATAATTAGTAAGATGACACTTAGTTTAAAAATGCTTTTTTTCCCCCAAGTGATAAACTTTACTTGATCGCTTTGAATAAGTTCAGTATTTTAAAAACCTACTTCCTGGGCCTAATTGTTAATATCTGAAAAAAATCAAAGAAATTAGGCCCAGTAGAAATTAAGCCAACTTGCTATGCTTTCTGCTTTGTTTAAGATATTTATACATCTTTATTATTTCATGTTAAAAAGATTTATACATATCACATATTTTGTGTGGTTCCTTGTTAAAAACTAATTTTTCTGCATTAAGACATTAAAAATAACCACCTACTTAGACTATATTAAATCATTCTTAGAAGCTGACTCTTCTTTACCAAAAAGAACATATGTATCACCAAATCACAGGCTGACGTGCAGACTCTCATGTCAGGCATAATCACAGGCATTCTAATTACATCATTTCAATAGGAAGTTCACTCAACTTACAAAGTAATAGATGATTCATTATATAACATTCTGCTTCCCACTAACAGAGTATTCAATGTAAAGACTAATTTTAGTAATTGTGGCAAACTGATTTAAAGTTCAAGCTTCCCATTTAAATTCCAGTCTTTCTCTCCTACATAAGAATTTTGCAGGCATTGTCACCATTTTGTCCCAAGGCTTGTGATCTGTCGAGCACTACAGCTATTCTTAAGAACCAACTATCACTACAATACTAAGGGACAAGGCCCTGCTTCTGAAACCAGGGTAAGTGGGGTAATATATTCCAGGATGAACATGGGACACAGTCCTGAAGATACAGGGGGGAAAATATAACAAGTACTTGAGCTGTAAGTAACAGATCCCTTTATTATGCTTAAACACAGACACTCGGTTTATTAGGTGTAATATGCAGGGCTTTTTATATCTATAAATCAAGAAGACTTACAGGCAAAAAGATAACCCTCAGAATGCAAACAATCCTTAGCATTATCCCTCCACCTGGTAATCTAACTGGGATGATGGGTGCAGAGCTAAGGACAGCTCACGATGGAATGGGAGGGGTTTAATGAGAGGGTACCACGATGGCACATGGATACTTCTGACATCCTGGATCATTCACTTTGTGAAGCGAGCCATTATCTTTGGAGTTAAGCTGAAATTCCTTTCGGAAAGCTGCCGCCGCGTCCCGCTCCCTGCTTCTTCCCTTCTCACTCCTCAAAGTTGCCTTCCCTCACTGTAGAAAAGGACCACCCTTCTGTTCCAGGCCACTGCAAGAGAAGCGGGGCAGAGACGAGCCTCCAGACACCAGAACAAGAATACCACGTGCCCTGCGCTTGGGGAGGAAGACGGCAGGAGAGGATGAGACGCTGCGCACCAAGAAGTGGGCGTCTAGAAAGTACCCCTCCAGGGTGTGCTTAGAAACGCAGACTCGCCCTTGACGTCGGAGGTGCAGCTCCCAGACCAAAGTGCCTAAAAGAGGTACCTGCTTGGGGCCGAGTCCTCCAGTCAGGAACCCGGAGCGGGAAGCAAAAACCAATGTTTTGACGGGCAAGGTCTACTTCTTTAAGTTATAAACTCACGAAGAAGACAAAAGGAGATTCCCGGTCCCAGAGTAAGGAAGCAACTTTGGGAACGCTCTGGAAGGGGGGCCTCCCAGCGAGCCGCGGGCGGAGCGGGATGGGTCGCACCTGCCTCCGCAGGTGGAGCGCATCCTCGCGGCGTCTCCGCGAGGGCAGCTCGGGGTCGCGGCGCTTCCCGGCTCCCGCTCCCGACAGAGCCGCTCAACTGACTGAACTGAGGGTGGAGGAATATTCGCGGGAAGCTCCTCTACTAGTAGCATTACTCGGGGCAACCCCCCGCCAAGCTGTGGCGACCTCCCCCCGCTGTCCTTCCAGACCTTTCCCGCGCTGAAAGGAGCCGCGAGCGACCCGCGGGCGGACTGACGAAAAGAAAGAGGAAAAGCTGAGGGAAAGTGAGAGGCTCCACTCGCGGGGCTCCCCGGGTGCACTCCCCCGCCGGGCGGACCCGGCATGCGGCCCCGAGGGTCACCTGAACTCCGCGCTCCCGGGTACCGAGCAGAAGCCGCCGAGCGCCGGGCGCCGCGCCAGGAGGCCGAGGCAGTGCAGCTGGAGGAGCCGCCCGCGTCCGGTCGCCATGGCGACCCAGCGCCAACGCGAGCTGCGCGGCGGCGGCGGCGGCGGGGAGGAGCGCGCCGCCGGGCCACGCCCACCGACGCAGGCGCGTGCGCAAGGGGCGGGGCCGAAAGCGACAGCGCCTTTCCACCGGCCCCAAGAGCGCTTCTAGAAATTTCCGCGGCCCGGCCTGTGCCCACAGCCAATGTGCAGACGCCGAGGATGCCAGTCGGCAAGAGGGCAGCTTGGAGTTTGGGGCACCGCGAGGGCTTTGCGGCGGCTTCCTCCCTCCCCACCTGCTGGCTCTGGGCTAGTTTGCGCCCCTTTCCCAGGGAAGAACAAACGCAAAGGTTGCATCATGTGCCCATAAGAACCAGCAGAGCCATAGTCAGACTGAGGATTTCTCGGTCCTCCCAAGAGGGTCGCAAGAACATGCAGTGTGTAATTGCTAACTAGACAGGTGCAAGTTCAAGAACTTCGTGAA